AAAAGCCTGGGTACATGCTTGGGAACATTTCAACGAAGGATCAGGGAGATTCTAAGAAAAGACCCTCAAGCTCCTTGTGCCAAACAGCAAGAGGCTCGGGGGCTACATCTAAATGGGGGTACTTTTTTCTTCAAAAAGGTGCACACCACGCGAAGATCTAACGAAGCGCTGTACGGTTTCGCTCAAGAAAGCACTCGGACGACGCTTGTTCCTGCTCAACAAGACTTGAAGGAACAAGATGAGGCTTCCAGAACTCAACCATGAAGTGCTCACACCACGCGAAGATCTAACGAAGCGCTGCATGGTTTCGCTCAAGAAAGCACTCGGACGACACTTGTTCTTGCTCGACAAGACTTGAAGGAACAAGACGAGGCTTCCAGAACTCAACCATGAAGTGCTCGGGGGCTTGTCGGTGCGGGACCCATGGGATTACCCGCATAGAAGGGAGAAGAACTAGCCTAACTAGGATTCTTCCCCTATAATCTTAGTAGTAGTATTATTCTGTAATCCTACTAGGAACCCTCATTGTAAACCGACTAGGACTCTGGCCTCCTGACTATATAAAGGAGGGCGGGGCTCCTTAGATCGGGGAAGTTCAAGACAACAATTGTACAACACAACACTTTACAATCAATCCAACGCAAAGGCTAATGCCGACTGGACGTAGGGCTATTACTCGATCTACGATCGAGGGCCCGAACCAGAATAAATCAACTGTCTCTTGCGTTTACCGTCGAGTTCTGCATACGCTAAAGCCCGAACATACTGCCCCGGGTACCCCCGTGGCAGGCTATCGGTGGTCAAACATCGACATCCACATCCGTCGACTCAGGGGACTAATCAAGTCGGTACTAGCCATCAAGAAGTAGCACTAGCTAAGAGTGATGATGCCCAGGCAATTCAGAATTTGTCTGAGCAAATTCAGGGTGCTACTACTAATCAAATGCAATATAATCCTAGATCATCAGTGCAGCATGTGCAACAGCCGATAGGGCAAGTTCAGAATCAGATGGTTAATTTTGGTACATCAGGCCAAATACCACCGTCGGCTCAACAAATAGCACCATCAATTCAAATGATTCATAAAGATATAGATTCTAATGTTTTTAATCAGAGATTTTAAAGAGTAAATCGGCAAAGGGCTCGACAGAGAGATATTCCCCAAGGGACATCGAGCCTATGTTGTTGCCTTCGTGCACATCGTCGTCGCCATCAACCGCGTCGTGGATGTACCAGAATCCCTGGACACGATGGCTAGAACCACGAGTGAAGTGGTGGCGGTCCAGGTTTCCATCGTGCCCACTGTCGCCGTCATCGGAGTCCGGTGGGGATGGTGGTGGGGAAGGGTTTAGCGGGTCAAAGTCCACCATGTTCTAGATGTGCATGAGCACCCGGTAGGAGAGGACGTCTTTCTTCATCAGGTACAGCGGCAGATTGCTGAACTACAGCAGTTGCTCGTTCTCGACGATGATGAGGTTGACGACCTTTGGGATGGCGCTAAGGTCGTTGGTCCAAGCGGTCAGGCGAAAGGCGGACAAGTCTGACTTCCCGTCTGATGCTAGGTCGACACACTGGATCCAGCATGCAGGCGCGAGGATCTTGGCAGCGGTATCAAGGCTCCACGCATGCGCCGGCACCCCTTCTAGCTCAATGGTGACCTTGAAGTTCAGCACCATCACCGTCGCTTGGGGGAGCCTTGTCCAGGGACGTAGGACCAGGAAGGTGCCCACCGCCAGCACCACCGACGCGGCGAGGATTCTGTCTCGAGCCACCCGGGACCTGTAGTGGATGATGAAATGCTCAAGGAAGAAGGAAACGATGAAGAAGCTCCCCTCCTCGACCACACGGATGTTCCCGATGGTGCACATGGCGTCGGAGGAGAGCACCTCCCGGTCTACGTCGGCGACCACCATGGTGAGAGAGTAGCACAAGGCCTCCTCAGCTTGATCGATGGCCTCCCTGCGCTAGATGAAGCAGCACACCTCTGCAAAGCCTGGTGCTGGGTGCCCAGGCGACAGTGGGTCGCGCTCATCGCTGGAGTAGCCTAGCTCCGCAGCCAGAGGTGGCGAGCCTGGCGGAGTGGTGTCGGATGCCTAGGATCCTATCGGCGTGTCTCGCCCGCTCGGCCCGGGGTGCGCCTGGATGATGCGACGCTGGCCATCGTTTGCAGAGGCTGCACCACCTGCCCCCAGAGAACGGTGGCGCCTGTAGTCCCTTGCAAGGTGACGAAGTCCGTTGCGGTTGAGGCACCACAGAGGCCGGCGGCAGGTAGCAATACGGTGGTTGTAGGAGAGGCAGTTGAGGCAGTGGTCTCGCAGTGCGTCCAGGATTCCACGGCGGCGGCGCACCTTGTCGGTGTTGGCGCGTGGAGGTCACGGTGTAGGCTCCTGCCGGGGCAGCACCTCCCTCCTGCCGGCCGCGTCCGGACGTGAGATCCGACGCCACCTGCATGGTGGCGCCCTTTCCCCCAAACGCTGGTGGGAGGGGATACGTGTGTCCACGTCCGGCGCTCGCCCCCTAGCCTCTGGTGCGTCGGTATGCGGCCCCCGTCGAGCCTCTCCCCCGGGCGTTGGTGAGCGAGGACGCGCGTGGTGGCACCGTGGCCCGTCTCGCCACGTGAGCCCGCCCTGCTGGGGTCGCTCCTGGGAGGAGCGCGGCAGTTCCTCCTACGTCTACGCCTCTTGCGACTCGTACCCGCCTCTGTGACGGGCTTGCTCGAAGCCTCCGCCGACAGCTCAACCTCGGCATGAGAGGCGACCTCAATCGTCGGGGAGCTCTGGTAGACGACATCGGCGAAGGAAGGAGGGGGTGGCGTCATAGTCCGAGTCGGAGAAGTCGTAATCCTCCGACCAGCGCATGGCCTTCGACCGACCAGGAGACCCGCGCGGGGACGAAGGGCTCCGCGTCGGGGGAGAGGGGGGGAGCTCTGCTTACCTGGGGCTTGGGGGATGGGTGTTTGGGTGACCAGCGGTGCCTGGGCGATGACCGGCGGGCTGGTGGTGAGGGGGCGGAGGGGGCGGAGGGGGGGGGGGGAGGGAGAGGGGGAAGGGGACAGAGCCATCCTAGAAATTCTTCCCTTAAAGCTACTACCTTACTATCACCGGACCCAAACTGCATGTCGTTATCGCAATGCGCAGCTCGAAAAAAACAGGGTAATAGCTGATGTTGACAACAGCAACATTGTAATTTAAGTCACAGTGCACCAACCACCCCTGGCACTTCGGTTATTTGGAAGGCTCACTTCAATCATTAAGCCCGGAAAAACCTTGCACCCATTATCAATATCCAAATATCTAAGGACAAGTACATTGGTCTTGTCTCATAGGCGGTCTCATGTAGTGCCACGTAATTTTAAGATGACTTAATAAATAACATGTACAATGGCTATTTTTTAAATTGTCTTATATTAACTCATAATTCCTTAATTTATGGATAGAATAAAAATAAAATTGTTAGTTACATGGCAACAACAACTCATACGACGACCTCTTTCTCTCTCTTTCCTCCATATCAGCAAAAATCCTATATGACACTGTATGAAACGACGTACGAGACTGCTAACGTGTAACAATGTACCTGCCCTAACCAGAGTTGCTGAAGTTAGGACACTCCGTACCAAATTCTTTCGTTCTTGGCAACTATGCCTGTGCATACAGCATGAATTCGATCTCCATTGAATGAAGCCAGTGAGAACAATTTCAGATAGATTTGAACAGCTTCTTTACTGAGTTTACTCAAGGTGCCTTGACTATAATTACTTAAGCTGTCAAATCCCTCTTCAAAATCATTGTACAACCACAGCTTTCCTAGTCAAGGAGCATTGCACAACAAAATTATTACTGTTATAATATAACTGCATAAGTAATACATGCAAGAGGTACAACTGGCAAAAGTGAATCAATAACTCACTTGTCTTTTTTCTACTTCTGCGAGCTTTCTTCTTACGTATTCGGTTAGGCATCTTTCCAACCCTCCGTTGCGCTAAGTTAGTGGCAGGGGACAAGGCCGATGGACGGTGGCTGGTGGCGCAAGCACCCGAGATCCGGCGTCGAGGAAAGAGAAGCAGGTGAGAGGCGGTGCCGGCCTGCCGGGTCCGGGCAATTGCGGGGTTGAGCGCCGCCGGATCCGACTATTTGCTGTTTCCAGCAAAGATGAAGATGGTTGGGCCGGCCAAAGTTTGATACAAGCCCAAAAACTGAGTTCAGACCACGGACTAAAATGGGCTAAAGTTGATCCCCTGGCCCATTTCTCCCTGGAGTTGCTGATCCTGTCAAACTGGCTTCTTCGTACGCATCTTTCATTCAGATTGGCTACTTTGACTTTCGCGGAGCCTGACTAATTGACCATATGGAATCCCCTCATAAAAAAAAAGACCATATGGAATGGATTGTTTGCGCTCCGTCCAGGCCCCAAAAATAGAAACGCAACTCCCTTCCCCTTGAGATAGAAACAAAACATGATCGCTGCGTAATCTGCCTGTCACGACCACGACGCCGCTCTTATTTTGGCCAAGGAACCAATGTTCCTGCAGACAGACACATCTACCTGAATAACGCAAGCCATGCACATTTTCCCATTCCACCACGCCCAAAGCGTGGGTCATGCATGGGTGCTTCGGTTTTTAGGAGCCCCGAAGCAAGCGCTCTCCTCTCAATCCCGGGAGTAATACGGTTGCTTCCCGCGTTGGCGATTCTGGGAAACCATGCAAAGCAAACACATATACGTACCTCCCCCAGCAAGCAAGCAGGACAGCGCAGAATTTCGACAACGGCGTATGCTCACCTCCAACCTCCAGGTCCCGAGCCATTTCAAATAACCCTCTTCAGCGCTCTCGGTTCCGTACCATCTCATCAAACTCGATCTGTTCTGCACGCCTCGCCATTGTCCGGCCAAGCAGTTGGTCGCCTCAATCGTCCTCCGGTGAGCGATCGCTTCAAGAAACGTGCGTGCACGGGCGGCGCTAAATACACGTCAACATTTTTGCCGCCGGGGCCGGAACGATGATGCGGGTGCACCGACCTCTTGGCATCGGCAGCATGCTGCTGTGCCACCCTTTCTCGGCCTGCCTCGTCGGCAGCAGGGCGGCGTCGGGCGGGCGCCGCCGGGGGGATAACAATGGGTCGCCGTCGCCGGAGCCATCGGCGAGCACGTGGAGGAAGCCGGAGCCCGGGCGGCTGAAGCTCAACTTCGACGGGTCGTCGAAGCACGGCGCGTCCCGGCGCGCGAGCATCGGCGGCGTGTACCGCGACCACGAGGGCGGGTTCGTGCTGGGCTACGCGGAGCGGATCGGCGCCGCGACCAGCTCCGTGGCGGAGCTCGCGGCGCTCCGGCGAGGGCTGGAGCTCGCGGTGGCCAACGGCTGGCGCAGCGTATGGATCGAGGGCGACGCCAAGACCGTGGTGGACATCGTGCGGAGCCGCGCGCGGGTGCGGGCACAGGAGGACCTGCGCCTGTGCGGGGAGATCGAGGCGCTGCTGCCGCTGCTCGACGACATGAGCGTCTCGCACGTCCGCCGGCAGGGCAACCGGGTGGCGCACGGCTTCGCCAAGCTCGGCCACAGCGCCGCCCGGCCCAGGGTGTGGCGCGACGTCCCGCCCGACGAGGTGCTCAGGTTCCTGCAGCGCGACGCCGAGGGGAGATGATGTGATGTCCGTCCCCACGCACGCGCGAGCTCGTGGGAAATGTTCGTGTGCATAAGTTTTTTTATTTATTTGCACGTGATCTCTTGTGCAGTTTGATTGGCGATCGAGATCATGCATGCAGCTGCGTGCTGACTTTGTACCGAGTTCTGATTGTACGTACGTGAACATCAGCTTGGTATTGGGTTGGGGGTAAACAACTGTACATTTTATAGGTCATCGTAGCGTTCAAAAAAAAATGAAATAACAATATAACTTAAGATATCACTTTCTAGTTTTTTTTAGACAAATCTTCTTCTATTAAAGGTCTGTTTGGTTGGACTTTTGCCCAAGCTTTACAAAGTTGTTCTTCAGTTTTTCCTACCAAACAGGCCCAAATAAAAGTTCTCTTAAAAGTTGTTTTTCAACTTCTCTATACACAGGTGAAGCTAAAAAAATTAGTTTCTCATTGTTTCTCTCTACTATCTTTTCTGAGTTACCAGACATTTTTTTGAAAACAGCTTTAGCTTCACTAGTGTAGTTGTTTTGTGAAACAGAAGTAAAAAAAACTGCTTCAATAGCCAAGCTGAGCTGTACCAGGACTTAATTATCTAAAAGGAACATATGGCGCAAAAATGACTATGCAAATTGGAGAGTCCCTATTCTTGTTTTCTTTTTAGTTTTTAATTCTTCATGTGTATGTCCCAGTGATACGTTTGTGCATTATGTAGTACCTTGACTATGTAACTTGAAACATTTGCCTCACCTAGTAACGCGAACTACTTTGTAATAACTCCGGTATGATATATTTTCGAAAAATAATGTTTAATCTAGTACTGAACTCAGCACTCAAATAGAGCATCGGCAAAACTTAAGGGAGTAAATGAGGTTGCGCATATTTTGAAGCTTTGGAGAAAGGGTGATGCGATGAATGTTCTATTGTGCGTCAGCGTCAGAGCCTGATCGGGCGCCCAGGGTTGTCGGGCCCTTGGGGCCACCACTGTTTGAAGCTGGAACTTATTCTATTATCTTAAAAATAATTACTCTCTTAGGCAATGAGACATAATGGATCCATATATATTACCCATGTCTGGCATAAACATGGGCTATCGTATTGTCCTCCTGAATTCCATGAATAAAAGAAAGAAAACAACTAGGCTACTACCGTCTACACAACTCTTTACATATTGACGGCGCCTTGTGATCACGGATGCTTGTACCTTCAACTTCTATCCAAATTTGAAGCTATACAATATTTATAAGTATGGGTGATAAAATGATTTGTGGTCATTATCACCAAGCGTGCAAGGTGGAGCATTGTGTTAGAAAGAGTAACACATAATGACAGGTTGTGCACCACAAACAAATTCAAAAAATCTTAACTTTTGTGAGTGTTGGGGTGGCAGGTAGGGGATGGGGGGCATGTGCCCCCCACCTTATGCCAATGAATCTTTCACAAACACTTGTCATGCCCCGTGTCAAAATCTACTTCCCATCTATCACCATAGAGATTCAATCTACAGTGTTGGTTTCATAATTCACTACCGGAAACCGGCACTTTGCCGAGTGCCGGAAGCCTTGCCGAGTGTATTTTATCGGGCACTCGGCAAAGACGGCTTTGCCGAGTGTTTTTTTCGGCACTCGGCAAAGATGGCTTTGCCGAGTATTTTTTTTTTGCACTCGGCAAAGATGTATTTTGCCGAGTGCCATTTTCGGCACTCGGCAAAATGAGTCTTTGCCGAGTGCCTTTTTTTGGCACTCGGCAAAGATGTATTTTGCCGAGTGCCATTTTTTGGCACTCGACAAAATACGTCTTTGCCGAGTGCCTTTTTTTTGGCACTCAGCAAAGAGGCATTTTACCGTGTGCATTTTTTTTGGCCCTCAGCAAATTATTTTTTCAAAGCAATTTTTGAGGCCCGAAATGAATTCAAATGAAAAACTTTTCAACTACAAAGTTGCATAACTTCTCAAGATCTACAAAGTTTATTTTGGTCATTTCTTCATTTGACAAAACGACAATAACGTTGTTCATAAAATCTACATCTCTCTCATATGTCTCATATTAGTTTCATGAAAGTAGAAGAGGGATATATAAGATTTGTGAATAATGTTACTACTACTATGTCGGATGAACAAATGACCAAAATAAACTTTGTAGATCTTGAGAAGTTATGAAATTTTGTAGTTGGCAACATTTTGATTTGAAATCATCTTGTCATGCAAAAATGGCGTTTGAATTTGAAAATTTTAAAATTTGAATTTTTCAAAAGACCTCAGATGGAAAAACTTCCTAAACGAAAATTGTACATCTCCAAAAGTTATGAAACTATGTAGTTGACAACTTTTTGATTTGAAATCATCTTATCATGCAAAACTACGTTTGAATCTCTCAAATTTAAAATTCGAATTTTTCAAACGACCTCGGATGAAAAAACTTCCTAAATGAAAATTGTAGATCTCGAAAAGTTATGAAACTTTATACTTGACCACTTTTTATTTGAATTCGTTTAGTGCCTTAAACAAGCAATTTACTCTCGGTTTAGTATAATATATGAGGATAGATAACGGAATTTAGACACAAGTGATAGTTTAGTGCAGTGGTAGAGCAGCAGACACACGAGGGAGAGGTCGTGAGTTCGAATCCCACCGGCCACGTTAGCCACGAATTTTGCGCAAAAAATGCAGCGACTTATTTGACGGATGAACTGACCGTTGGCGGTGGCGGCCTTCCCGATTTTTTTTTTTTTTTTTATTATTTTTGGGTTTTTTCGCATTTTCATTTTGCCGAGTGTAAATCTTTGTTGAGTGCTTTTTCGGCACTCGGCAAAGACTGCCGAGTGCGGCACTCGGCAAAGCCTTTGCCGAGTGTATTTCGGGCTTTGCCGAGTGCCGCAGACACTCGGCAAAGTGCCAGTTTCCCGTAGTGATTCTATCGTTTTTGGGTTTGCTACGAGCGTTCGGCTCATACGTGGTGCGTGCACCAGATTTCTAAGCCATGCTTGGCCCTTTTCAGGTTTGGAGTGGGACCGAGATTTCCATTTTATTCTTTTTTTTTGTCATCATAAATCTCCCTGGTCCATTCCCTAATATAGTGCTTGGGCTTAGTGTAAGACAATTTAAACCACCACAACAATGATAATTTAGTTGTTTTTCTCTCAATGTACTTCAACTGCAACTTCTAATGTCATACATCATTTGACCATTTCCATGATTCTATCGCTCCATTATGCCTTGGCCATTGACGTTGATTGAGGATGCAAAGTTGCAGACCTTGAAAAATGGAGCTATGCTTCAGTGGCATTGATCGGCCTCGCCTTACACCGTGGGTGTGTGCTTCCAAAATATTGACATTGATCGACGATGCGAAACTATAGACCTATGCATCAATGACATCGATCGCCCTCGCCTTACACCATGGGTGTGTGCCTTTGAAACCCTAAACCTCGGTATAAATCCCTGTGTCTTCTGTGATTCGCTTGGTTCACTCTTCCTCTCAAGTTGGATTTTAGGCTTTCCCTCTGACTTATTTATTGAATCGTGGCAATTCGACAATATGATTTTGGAGTATTTTTACTTGGGTATTTCGAGTTACCTCTGATCTCTGGAACTTTTAGAAATTTCTTCACAATTTATGAAGATTTACTAATCCCTTGCTTTTCTGGTGTGTAAGAATTTTTTAGATTCGCCTATTCATCCCCTCTAGGCATTGTTAATCTTTTCATAGGGCAAAGGTGGGCATGCCCCTCCTCCCAAGGAAAAGAAATTGAAAACTCCTTTAATCATCTATACTTTTATTAATTTAAATTTATTCAATTCGAGAATTTAAAACTACGAGACTAAGATGTTCGCATAAATCTTCATATACAAAGGTCTCTAAGCGGCAACCCTTTTTCAATCTATGGTTGAAGAAGGGACTTTGCAAAGAAATATGAAGTCTTCCTAATTATATTACACTTTATTTATCATACATCTTACTATATCCACTTCGTAAACTTTTGCTACCTACATACACTAAAGTAAAGGCTACTAATTCATCTCAAAATTAGATTGAATAGGCTAATCAAAAATCAATTTTGAGTTGTGGATAAAGCCTACTCTCTGCTCTTTCTATAAATTGACACTTTAAATTAATAAATGTGCACATTAAGCAACAAATTAGGACTACTAGCCCCATCTTGATTTTCCTGCAAGCTCCGCCATCGCTTCCTGAACTATTGTTGTGTTTTTATTCCTCTTCGAACACCAAATATGGATTCCTTACTCCCTTCAACTCTCAAAATCTTTTAAAGTACCTCTTGCTCGGGTGAAAAGTGGCTTTCAACATATTTTTAATTAAATAAACCAGTAAATACCTGATAAGGTTTTTAAACCATGAAAAATGTCTTTAAGCTTCTCAAATTCTAAGAAAAATCCTAGACATAGATGTAACACAAAAACCCAAATAAAAAGTTTAGAGTTGGTGAAAATATTTCTAGAAGCTTCCAAAATTAGATTTAGCTCTAGAAAAGTGAGGAAATATCCAGAAATATAGAAATTTTCCAAAACATTCTAATTAATGTCCAAATATGTTAAAAAAAACTTTCGACAACAAAATATGAGATGTAATAAGCAAAAATGCAAAATTCATTTGGTGTTGAATGCATTCCTGTCAGTTGCATCTGATGTTTTTGTTGAAAATTTTTCAAAATGGTTTTTAGACATCTATTATATAATGTTTTGCAAATTTTCTAGATTTCTTGAATAGTTTGCCTTTTTCAGGATCTAAATCTAATTTGTAAAAGGGTTTTAGAGATATTTTTAGAAGCTCTAAATATTTTTTTTTGGATTTTTCGTGATCCAAAAACTTTAGCGAGTATTTACTAGATTGTTTTACTAAAAAAGAATGAAATCACCTTGAAAACTAAAATATAATGAAATCACCTTGAAACCCACTTTTAATTGAGGGCATGAAGAGAATTTATATGGTTTTGGGTGTTGATGGGTAAGATGTCAAATATTAAAAGTTTTTTAATATTAAAAGTTGAAGGGAAAAATTTAGATCAGTCGGCCTCTCGGTCTCCACAATTCACAAAGGCAAGCCCGTTGCCCTACAGAGAGCCCGCCGCTTGATGCAGCCCATGGGACCGGGAAGGTAAACTGAAATCAATTGCATCATTGAGTGCAGCGTTGATGAGCAGTGCTTCAGTTCAGTGGTAGTCTCTGATCATCATTCAACAGCGCTGCACCCATCAGGCATCTCACGCAAAAACCACTTAACCACACACACACAACAAAAACCTTTTCAGATGATTCCTCGCTCCGGGAGTCCGGTTCTAACTGTTCAAGTAATAACTAACCAGTGTTAACGCGCGTAAGATGGTCGCTCTGAGATTAGCTTCAGCCTGTTCGTTTGGACGTGGCTCGTCGTAAACGATCGTAAATTTCCAGTCGGAACAGTATTTTTCTCTCACACAAATCAGCCATCAATACTTCTTTACGAACCAGTAACGATACGAACTAGCCAACCGAACAGGCTGCAAGAGCCAAGAGGTAATCACTAATCACATCACAAAATTTCCCATTTCCATTTGTTTATCACCCAGCAGTAAGCATTTCCCATGGCTTCAGAGGACGGATTACATGCAAAATTTGCAGACACATACATCTCTGTATCTGTATGTATGAACAAGAAGAGGAGGAATCGCAATTCGCACACGACGTGTATACAAAGAAGAACTAATTAGGGCCCCAGCAGACGAGGTGGTACGCCTTGTGCAGCTTCTCCTCCTCCGACCGCCTGGGCCTGGCGGCCCTGCCGGCGGCCGCGGGAGTGGAGGCCGCGCCCGCGGCCTGGGACGACGAGAGCGACACCGGCACGGCGCGGCCAGTGACGACGACCTTATTGGCGGCGGCGGCGCGGTTGTAGAGCGAACGGAGCGCGTAGTCCCACCGGCACAGCCCCGCCTGGTCCTTGAGCGCCTCCACGGCGCTCATGCTCGCCGCCACTACCAACGACGACGCCTTCTTGCTCATGGCCATGGACGACGACACGCTCATCTTAATTCACCGCTAGCTAGTTCCGAGCTTGATGATCGGTCACTCGCTCACCAGCTAGAGACTTGTTCTTGCTTCTGAATCTTGGTCTGCTTGTGTTGACGCTCTGCACTGCGAAGATGACGAGGGGAGGGGAGGCGATTATATATGTCCGGCACCGGCAGGTAGCCGATGCAGGCAGTTGGCGGCAGCGAGGAAGGAGAAGGACGGACGCGGCGGGAGGGGAAAACAGGGGTCTCTGCTGGTTGCTGGTTTTCGGCAGCTCTACACCCAGGTTCCCAAAAACCAGGGGTTGGGCCGCGTCTGGAAGAATATTCTGCATTCTTTTCCCCCCTTTGCTTTCACCGAAAATGAGCGAGGTGGTGAGGTGCATGTGGTCTGCATACGCCTGGAACGTTCGTTTACGGGTTTTTTTATTGAACCGGTATGAGATACTTTATTATACTCCTAATTGAGTTTTACTTGACTTCGTTTGATGACTTTTTTACTGATTTAATTAATGCCTTCTATTATTAGTAGGATGTTCCTTAAAAAATCAAATATTTATAAACTTTGGCATCAAAGACAAAATATATGTTTGTTTGATGCACTGGTGTAGATTTGTATTTCATTATTAGTAGGATGTTGGTTTGTAGTGACTGATAATAAATTGTAAGAAGCTAATGGTCCGACGCCAGAGTATTAAAAAGGCTCTAATTCCTAATTCATCTTAGAAAAAGGGTATAATGTAATGGTTCTACACTTCTAGACAGTTCTACCCTCATCTTCTTTTTTCACGGCTAAGCAAGCTTTTCCTTATGCATGTCTCATTTGCATGCCGTTTTGCTTAAGCAGAGCTGTACTTGCAAATGCATCAGTTGGTATCTTACACTTAACTCATGGTTGACGAAGCTGTATACCGTAGACAGACACACACAACATTTGGGCGAGCTGAAACAGACCGTAGTAGTTTACTCCCTTAGTCCTCTTTCTCTACTTCTTTGATCAGGATTGGTCGTCTTGGACTCTGCTTGGGCGAGCTGAAGAATTGCATTTGTAGTTGTGGACTTGCCAATCAGGGTGTGTTGGCACTAAACTCAGCCTGGGTTGTCAACACAGAGGTTCACAGATCCTTTTCCCCAGCCTCACACATAGTTTTGCACGACGGATGTGGACGCTGCATCTATCGTGACAACCTTTTTGACGCTGAGCCTAGCAGTTCACCGAGAGGAACGTGTGCAGTTAGGCGCGTGCCAAACAGGACGGAATCAGCAAAAACAGCTGACAAGATCCCAATCGCTCCAGCCATCTGCTTAAGTTACTACCAGCCGAGCCGTCGGCGATCGATCGCGCGCGGTTTCACCGATGTGGTGGGCAGCACCATGCGATGCGCCGACGAGAGGCGACTTACCTCCAAAGAACGCGTCGTGTCGTGCCACTGGCCGGTCATCTCGTTGGCTTGGCAAGCCAGGTTCATTCCATTCCACCGCCGCGGAGCGAGCAGACGACGAGCGCCGGCACCACGGCAGTACGCCACCCACCGGTTTCGGTGGGCTGGGTCCGGGCGCTTTCGCTGGGTTCGCAGCTTCGCGCTGCCGTCACGGGCACAGGCCAAAAGCCACCGAAACCGTGGACGCTCCTCCCGCTCCCAGCCACCTTTTCCGGTTTCCCCCGCGCCCGCGCGCACTCGGCACCGCACGACACGACACGTCGTCGTTCGGCCCGGAACCCACACCGCCCGCGCCTGGCGAGACGCGCGCGCTTCACTTGTTTTCGGAGCCGGGTCACCCGTCGCGCCCGCACCCAGGGCCGGTCTGGGTGTGATCGTCTGGCTGAGAAATTCCCGCAGGGCCGCTCGCTATAAGTAACGGCCTGAGAAATTCACTTCACCAGATAGCTAAAACGTACGTGACCAATCTACCAGTAGCGTCTAAGCGTGCCACACAGAGAGGTTGCAGCGGGAGCCCAGCCAGCTGTCAGCTGCCCGGTGGTGGGGAGTCGGCGGCGTCGGCGACCAGCGGGTGGCACGGCAGCCGGCGAGCGAGGCATGTGCAACGGGCGGGAGTGCGGGCGGGAGCGCGCGTTCCGCGCCTCCCTGCACGAGCACGACGCGAGGCCGGGGCCGGAGCCGGCGGCGTCTGCGTGCCGGCGCGACGCGAAGGCGGAGGCCATGACGGTGGCGACGTTGCCGGCCAAGGGACGCGCGCGGGCGGCGACGGGGGAGGAGCGGGAGCAGGAGTGGAGGCAGCGGCCGCGGCAGGCGGTGGCCGAGGCGGAGATCGAGAGGACGGAGAAGCTCATGCACCTGCTCCTCTGGGGACCCAACTGACCTGACCGTCGCGCTGAACCCGGTCTGGGAGGGTGAACACGGTCCGATGCAGTAGTTCGTGGCTTTAATTTTCGCGTGTGTGATTGTGAACTGTGAATTGTGTGGGTGACAAACTGTTTATTAGCATCCTTGTTTGGTGGGTTCAACACGATGTAACTGTTCATTTGTTTGATTTCGTCATAAAAATCATATCGAATAGTACAGTAATTCTTATGTGCAGCTGAAGTGGTGATCGTAAACACAAGCAGATTAAGAACTGCAAAGGCTTCCCATCTTATCTATGGTCTACGACGATTACGAAGATATAAAATATAAAATAAAATAGCTCCGTGGGCTGAGATGGACATGGAAAGGCCTGGAGATGACACGTAAGACTTGGGCTGTTGTTAATCTCGTTCGGCTGTAGGTGGGCTTGTTTTCATTTCACGGCCCACTACTGGCCATGAGATTGTGGTAAGAAAGACTGATCAGAAATTCAGAATACTCCAACAGGTCGACAAGTAAATCTCTTAGGGCTGTTCGGATCCGGTGACTAAAGTTTAGTCCATGTCACATCCGACGTTCGGTTAATAATTAGGAAAACTAAATATAAATTAATTATAAAACTAATTACATAGATAATTACAAAACTAATTATACGGATGGAGACTAATTTACGAGACGATCCTATTAAAGCTTAATTAATCTATTATTAGCATAGTAAATCAAATCATGAACTAATTAGGCTTAATAGATTTGTCTCGTAAATTAGTCTCCATCCGTGCAATTAGTTTTGTAATTAAGTTATGTTTAATACTCTAAATTAGTGTCAAACATCCGACGTGACGAGGACTAAACTTTAATCGAAATTATCAAACACGCCCTGCATGAGTTTCTGATCGCTACACTCTTTGAATAAAGGAAAAGTCTAGTGAAATCTCCAACCGCTAGACTCTTTGCAGCAAGCAAATTGAGAAAAAAAAGTTATATACCTTGCAAGTAACGACCTTGTCCTGGACAAGTTAGCTCAAATCTCGATTCAGATTACACTTTAGGACCCGTTCGTTTATTTGAAAAATAAAACCAAAAATAATATTTGATTGATTTATAACAAAAAATGAAAAAGTGGATTATAAGAGAAGTTTGAAAGTGTGGCAATTCATCACTATACTGGCATCAACTGTTGCAATGCTCTGTTGATTTTAGGAGGTCAATCTCCCTTCTGTCACAAAGATTATAAAAAGTTCTTGTACCTAAAAAACCCCGTCAAGTCATACTACTATACAGAGATCAGACAAATGTATCATGCAGCTGAACTGGCTTGAAGCCTGGAAACCTGCTGTACTCTACTACTGGTGTTTTAGTTGCACTAATTTGGCACTACGCTCTTCAGCTGACTGTGGGTGGGTCCATGTGTACAGTGTACGTGAATCCATCCTAGTTCTAGCTGACCATTTCTGAGTGCGCGGTGCGCCCCCGCGCGCAGGCCAGACGCCAGGTGGGTGGCGGTGGGCGACGGCTGGACGTGCGCAACGGGCAGGACCGCGGCCGCGCGGGACATGCGACGCCGCAGCAACGGTAGCCTAGCCGGCACACGGCAGCCACTGCCGGCCGGCACGGCGCCAAGACGACGGAGTCGGGGCGCGCCAACGCTGTGAGATGTGCGTGCCAGGCCAACAACGCGGGGCTAGGAACCCATATTCTCCGCATTGTCCCGGAAAAACCGAATAATGTCTTCGTTTTCCCCTGTACTAGAACATCTGGCGACCTTCGGGCGCCTACCGTGACTTCTCTTCCACAACTTGAATTTTAGCAGGTCCATTGGAGAATTGCTTCATTCATCAACAGCAAAAAATCATAATGGCTAATTTCCTAAAAAAAAACATAAACGGTTTATAATCTTGAGTTGACAGGTAAAACACTACAAAGGCCATAGATAAGTAAGTAAAACATATGAGATCACAAAGCTACATTCAGGGAGTGAGACAAGACCAAAAGAATTAAAGAATTCACTCGTTGACAACAGTTTTTTTTTAAAGACCAAAGATCAAACCTATTATCATTATGCATATAATGGATTAATGGTACATCTACATAGATAATCCTGTAGCTTCCTGTAGCAACGGCCATTGTGATCATGAAAAATCAAATCATGAGTATCATCATCAGAACAAAGTAGTAAAAGCCCTATCAGTTACCTGCAATTTGGCACACACAGCACATCAGAGCATGGTACGACATAGAAAATAGATGCAAGCCAAAAAAAGAAAAGAAAAAACAGAAATATGGCTTACAATAATCTGCACAGAACCATTGAGGCAGTAGCCATTTACTAAGGAAATGTTAAATGATATTTCTTAATGCACGACGTAATATTCAATGGCCATGTTCGCTTCTCTTATAATCCGTCTTTTTTAGCTTATTTTTTTTAGCCGGAACAATGTTTTTCTCTCACAGCAAATCAGCCGGAACAGTGTTTCGGCTTGTTTTATCAGCGAAGCGAACGGAGTCAATAAATAAATTACTAGTCCGTAAGACATTCTATTTGCCCTCCTTTTCTCAAATCAATTTTCAACTCTAACATCCTGTGTCTTTCTTCCAAGAGTAACCCACATGTCCAAAGGGGAAAAAAATCAGAATGGCAGTAGCAAAGGTATTACACAAATAATAGCTGTAGTCTACACATGTAGAAGAACATGATGGTTGAATCTCAAGGCCCATAATAAAGGCCACTCTCAGATTAGAAAAAAAAATCCTAAATTGAATTAAAATGGTGACCGTGGGTGTTGTTTCATTCGATAGACATCAATTTCCAAGAAACCAAAAGTTACTTACAATAGGATCATTTAAAAAAATTCCATCTATTCGATTATACTCATTTAAGCCTTTATGGTATGGTATACAAGTAACCATTGTCAAGAGTACATAATTTAATACATGGTAGGACATAGAGCTACAAACTAATAGTTCTGACGAGCATATATTTGTAGGACCATCTCTTCCCTGAGCAGAAAAAAGCACAACATATGGTTTTCAAAATTTTGTTATGCTAAAATTACTGACACAAAAAATCCAATTCTTGAGAGCTTCCACAAGGCAAATCCAGTGGCGAGTTGGGGCATGCTAACACACAACATACTTTACACCATGAGAAGAGATTTCTAGTTATGTCAAGAAGCCTGAGATATGAAACATGCAAAACATCATTGTGGAAAGTATGTTGTGTGTTAGCATACATCTCATCTGCTCCAACCATTAGCCTCTATTATTTCAGTATAATAACCCTTGAGTTACGGCATGCTAACACACAGCATGCTTTCCACAAGTATGATATTTGTTAGCATACATCTCACCATGAGAGGAGATTTCTAGTTATGTCTAGGGTTATTATTAATTGTGAATACTGAAACTACGCCACTACAAAATATCAAATGGTGAAAGAACTGCTCCATTTCCTTCCGTACTCTATGGCTTATACGTAATCGACATGGCGATCATAAGATAATATTCACTTATAACCAATCTCTTTAGTCCATCTGGCAGTACGATTGACCTCACTCCTTTGTATGAAATAGTTGCACAGATCAACTCATTAGAGTTATTGAGCCTCTACTGAACTTTGTGGCATACATCTCATTTGAATATTGTGGCACCCAAATAAATTATGAACTTCATCAAAAAATAAATAAATTATGAAGGCACAAACTCAAGGAGGTGTTAGAACGCTGCACTAATCTTGTTCATCGTTGTGAAATCCTGGTTGTGGTAGCAGAGACGGAACTGGAATTATAACAATCTAATCTATAAAGTTGGATGAGAGAAGTCGGAAATCCATAAGAAACGATTTCCTCGCAGTGCAAAAACCTGCAGCTCACCTGGCAAACGTTGAGATCCAGAGCATGTCGTTGTGCTCCTCGCTGCTAGATCTCTCGGAGTTGAGGACAACTCGCCGAAGACGAACGCAACCCCTTCAACTACACGACACATCCACGACGCCTAAATGCATCTGAAGACAGGCAAGCCACCGCTTCTCATCGCGAGTGGGGAGTCCGACTGCCTGGGGCCGCCGGGATCCTAGCGAGCTAATGGCACCTCCACGCCATGGATCCAAGGAGGTTGTTCCTCCCTACGCGCTCTAACTCGCCACCTCCACCAGAGCTGCACCCCTCGCTCCCAGCAGCTGAGAGAGATGGGATAGAAATAGAGAGAAGGGGAAAAGGAGATAGGAGGGGGGAGAGCGGCGGATGGGAGATAAGGCCGAGACTGAGAAGAAGAAGACTGGGGGTGGGAACAAGGGGCCGTCGCGCTCCCCGTAGAGTCGAGCACCGCCGTCGCGCTCCTCGGCCGGCGAGGCCACGCGCCCGCCCGACGAGCCGTGCCCACGAGAGCCTCGCCCCGTTGTCCGTGGTGGAGGGGTAGGAGCACGACGGCGAGGCGCGCGTGGGCGGCGTGGCGAGCCGCATCAACGCGTGGGGGAAGCGAGAGGAATGAGGAGGGGATTAGGGTTTGGCCGTTTGGGCCGAGTGCGGGGGCTCTCTACAAAATGTCCAGGGAGTTATGCAAAAAATGAGACAGTTCTCGATATTCCAACGCGCGCACGGTTTGGGGGCGATAGACTGGACTGCGGGTTGATTTCAAAAAAAAATGGTGGATGTTTTTGCAAAATGTATAGAGACGCGTGTCACCGCGCGGAGACGCCACCCATGCTCCGAATGCTCTCGTGCGAGCGGAGTTGAGTGGGTTTTAATCGACCCCGATGTATAAAGCTATCTTTTCCGAGAGCTTTTTCTCATGGAGTAGTACACTGTACACAGTACGCTTTAGCACGATGTCGAAACCTCCAACTGCAAGAGTCGGCGTCAATCGATTCCATTTCCAAATCGGCCGTGCTCGGCGAGGAATGGATCCGATGCTCACCACGAGTCCCAACAATCGGCGGGAAATGAAACTGTCCGTGCAGTCTACGGTGCTAGCCGCTAACTCGAACGAACGCAGAAGCGTAGGTAGGACGCGAAACGAACAAACTCTCTCTATTTTTTTTTTGTTTGCGACGGAACAAACTCTCTGCTTACCCACAAGAATTGGGCGAAAAAAAACGAGTAGCCTCTGTCTGAACTGAAGTAGCAGCAGCCAGTAGTAGAGGCAAAACATGAATTTTGCAGGTGGAAATCATCTTCGAATTTAAAATCTCAGAGATGCAACTGCCAGTAACGTGTCGAAGGGATGCGACGCAACGACATTTTCGGATGGAGTTCGGTGGACGCCCACCCGCAAGCTCGGTTCGTTTCTCTTATAATACATCCTTTTCAACTTATTTTTTCAGTCGAAACTATATTTTTCTTTCACAATAAATTAGCTAAAACCGTATTTCGGTTCGTTTTTTCGGCGAAGCGAACGGGCTCCCCCACGTCTGACGTTCCGAGCGTCCCACGGTCCGACCCCACTCACTAGTACTCGCAGCGTGTCCCACTGTCAGCGAGTGTATTTCTCCTTTTTCTTCTTAAAAAAATCCACTCGCAATAATACAAGGCGCGGCGGCGCTCCCCTTCCGCTCCGGAGCCCCCAACGGTCGAGTACTGACGCCCCCCGCCTCATAAACCTCTCTTCCTCTTTCCCTGCACCGCATCGCCCCAATTCGCACCACGAGTTTCGAAAAACCAACGAATCGCGCCTCAGATCACGCGAGCGAGGCGAGGGGGAAGCAGGACTCCATCCGCATCCATCCTCCGCTCACCCGTCGATCGATCGTCCGTCCGGTCCAGGTATCCGTCCGTCCGTCTGGTTTCGAATTTCGATTGCCCGATTGGGATTCGTTCGTGGCTCTGTTCCGTTGGTTTGCTTCTGCCCTGATCTCTCAGCTTGTGCGTTGTGCCGATCCTCAACGGGACGGGAACAGGGGGCTCTCCGGCGGCGAGGGCGATGGAGGAGGACCCGCTCATCCCGCTGGTGCACGTCTGGAACAACGCCGCCTTCGACCACGCCTCCTCCTCCGCGTGGCACGCCCACTCCCCTGCTCCCGCGAGCGCAGGCCGCGAGGCGGAGGGGGACAAGGAGAACCACCGCCCCGACCCCGAGCCGGACGTCGAGGCGGAGATCGGCCACATCGAGGCGGAGATCCTGCGCCTGTCCTCCCGCCTCCACCACCTCCGCACCTCCAAGCAGTCGGAGCCGTCCAAGCGCGGAGAGGTCGCGCCCGCGCACGCACCCGCGGCGAAGGCGGCGTGGACGCGGGGGCTCAGCCTGGGCCCGCTCGACGTCGCCGCTGCCGTCAACCCCAACCCGCTCACCACTGACAAGCAGCAGCCGCGCGCCGCGCAGGGTCTGAAGCCGATCAAGCAGGCCCCGGCGGCGCGGGGCAGGGGCGTCAGCCTCGGGCCCCTCGACATCGTCGCCGCGAACCCTAGGGTCCCCTCCGCCGCCGCCACCGCGCCGCAGAGGAAGATTCAGGGAGAGGGCGGCGCCGCGCGGCCGATCCTGAGGCCGATCAAGGAGCCTTCCGTGCAGCGGCGCAGGGGCGTCAGCCTCGGGCCCTTGGAGATCCACAACGGCGTCGGCAGCAAGCCCTGGGCGGCGGCGGCGCGGGTCAAGACCTTCACCAACAAGCTCGGTGCCCTTCGTGAGGAAGGCCAGCGTTCGAAGCAGCACACCGTCCCTGCCAGACCGTGGCCATCCAGCAATACCAGGCAAGGCACCGCAGCAAGAAAAGCCAAAGCGAGGAGCGGGAGCATGAGCCCCAGCAGGTCCAGGAGGCAGTCCACTTCCAAGGCTACCGAGACAAGAGCAGGCAACGCCAAGGCTGCAGAGGTGGCGAGGGCAGGGAACACGGCACTCGTGGTTAACAAAGTTCCTGATGAACTCAAGCCCAAAGGCCTGGTGGTGGGCAATCAGACCAGCAATGCAGCCACTGCGAAGAGGCCGGCGGGGAGCTCCAAGGTCAGGGTCGTCCCGAGCCGCTATAGCATCACCCCTGGCTCGTCCCTGGCAGCTGTGTCACAAGACAAGCGGTCCAAGCAGTCTCTCCAGGACCGGCTAGTTCTGCAAGCCAGAGGGAGGAGATCAGAGCAAAGCTCACTGAGCCGTCGAATGACGAGCTGTCTCCTGAAACAGTTGCCAAGGTTGCAGAGCTGCTCCCAAGGATCAGGACCATGCCGCCTTCTGATGAGAGCCCGCGTGACTCGGGGTGTGCCAAGCGTGTTGCAGATTTGGTCGGGAAGCGATCCTTCTTCACCGCCGCAGCCGACGATGGCAATCTTGTTACGCCCTACCAGGCACGGGTGGTTGAACTTGAATCACCTGAGGCAGCAGCAGCATGAGAAGTTTGGCTTCGATCAATAAATCAATTCCTTCTGACAGCTCGGCTCCCCTTCGTCATGAGTGTTCGAAGTGCCTGCTTAACTTGAGCTTGCATTTGGGTGAGGCCTCTTTTTGCAGTGTGCTACTACATAGTCTACTGTAACATTCATATCATATCTCATGTCCTACTGTTACATTCATATCATATCTCATGTCCTATTTTTCCCCCCCCTCTTGAGACATTGCTAGTACTTTTGTGTTGCCTTGTGAAAACAGAGTGAAAGGTTTGCTCCTGCTGGTGCTCTTGATTCGAATTGTAATAAGTGTGTTCTTGGTTTGATGAAGTACAGGATCATGCTGTGGTTTATAATATGCCTCCTCCTTTATTTGTCTTGCTTTGCTTCCTTTGATTTTGAACTGCATTTGGGTATTTTGCTCTGGGGACTGATGAATTGCTGTCCCTTGTATGTACGTAACTGGTCAGTTCTCTAAGTTTTCCACCAATCCAGCTAGGAATGTCACACCTTCCTCCTGAATGTTGTACCACAACCATGCATGATGGTACAATTCTAGTTTAGTTCTTCTCTGGTTCATGCATAGTTTTTCCTGAACACACAGGAAGAGGAAGTCCACTGATGAAAAAAATGTGAAACATTGGTGAAAACGGGTGGTGTGTTCAAGTAATACATTTTTCAGCAGTAAAAAAAAAATAAGGAATGCACAAACCATGAATCCACGTCACCACTGCTTTCAGCTTGGAGATATACAAACAAATAGAGGCCAGACTGGACCTTTGGACCACATACAAAGGCTTGGATCAGCCATTCACGAGGTCAACTTGAAGCATCACGGGAATGCCGAATGCCCAAATCCTAAGAATATTAGAAAGAAAACAAACTACTGGCGAACAAGACAACCTGCCTTTTTGTCTGAATATTTGCTTTTTTGTCTGAATATTTGCTGATGATTGTTCGGTTTGAGAGCGATGCCAGTATTTTAGTGCTGTTCTTGTCTATCCTCCCTCCATTTGGCTGCTTTGACATGTCAGTTATCTACTACTACTAATTTCACTGCTTTTCTCAGTAACAATGTTGCAGGAGCCGTTGGTTTGGCTGCTAGCTAACTCACACGTTTATCCTCCATTTGGCTGCTTTGACATGTCAGTTGCCTACTACTAATTTTCACTGCCCCTCCCAGTAACAATGTTGCAGGAACCGTTAGTTTGGCTGCTAGCTAACTCCCACTTGCTCCTATCATAACGGATTGGTAGGGTGCTTAAGTTTTCTTTGGATTATCTATAGATGCAGATGTAGACAGAAGATTGGCTGGTTGACGGTTCAGCATATGCTCCTCCTGTAGCCCTGACAGCAGAAATTAGAGACCGACACTGATGTAGTTCTTGAGCTATGGATTATAGTCGTATGTTTGCAGTGCTACATGCAAGCCTTAATTCCTTAAAGTCTGGAAATTCTACCTGTCATTGTATTTGTAAGACAAAAAATACTAGATTTGCAATAAATTGCACAAAGTACAAGAGACTAAAAGGCGATCGCTATAGAAGACTGATGAAGACACTGAATTTAAAACCCTGTTCCTAAAAAAGGTTGAATTTAACTGAAGTTGCAATATATATCACAAAGGAATCATAATGATGGATCGATGTGTCGAGATTACAAGCAAAGACAAAAAAAAAAAATGGACATCAAATAAACTAGAGCTAAACCTCAGTGAAAAAGGAGTCAGACATAACTTAGACACTCCATATTTTGCTGAAGATGGTTTGCAGTCTGTTATTAGATAGCTTCCTGACGATCTTCTTGGCGTCGAAGTCACCAGAGTCTGCCAGTTCTTTCAGGCAGCAGAAATTCTCTGATGTCACAATCTTCTTCCTTCCACTGTGGGTCTCAGCCAAGGACATGATAGCAGAGAGGATCAGGTCCTTCTCCATCAGCTTGCCCTCAGCTGGATCAAGAAGCTGCAGCAGCCTGTTCAGATTGTCGCCGTCTTGAATGAAGATGACGCGATTGGGGTGAAGCATCAGCAAGCTGGACAGAACCTGAGCCGCCATTTCCCGGACTCGGCAGGATTTCGCTCCAAGTAAGCTTGACAGGGCGCTCAAATACCCTGCTCTGCCCATCATCCGGTTGTACTCCTCAGAAACCTCAGAAAGATGCCTCAGAATCTTGAGGGTGCATTCGAGGACAGCGTAGTCGCCATTGTTCAGGTAGAAGAGCAGCCAGCCAAGAACATCCGAGCTGATGAGGTCATCCAAGGAGTTTGCAGAAGAGAAGCAGAAGAACCAGATGGCAGCAAGAGCAACCTCCCTGGCCTTGTACGAGTACGGAAGGTCGGGGTATATCAACTGGAGGAGTGACTGGATCACCCCCATGCCGACGGCTTCCTCCCTGACGTCGGCGTCATCCAGAAACCATGGCGTGGAGCAACTCGACGGCGCCGAGCTTGCGGACCTCCTCCTTCTTCTGGGAGAGCTTCACCAGCTCCGTGACCACGCCTTGCTCCACCATGAACATCTTCACTTCCTCCACCCGGCTCAGGTTCCTCAGCACTGCAAAGACGAGCTGATGAGCTTGCTGCTGCTGCCGGCGCCAGCGCAGGCGTGCAGCAGCGTGGTGAGGCCGCCGTGCGCGCAGACGGCCCACACGTTGTCGGAGTTCTCCGTCAGCTCCCTCAGCGCGTGCGCTGCTCGCTCCTTGCCCAGCTCACTGGCCGTGTCTGCGTTCTCCAGCAGCTGGACAAGCTGGGCGATCACCCCTGCCTTCACCAGCATTCCTCTGTAACACTCGGAGCTCGCGACGACGGCGACGGCACCGGCGGCCTCTTCTTGGATGCACGCGTCCGTGGACTCGAGGAACCCGGTGAGCAAGGCGATGCCGTCGTCGACGTCGAGAGCGACAACCTTTGCGCAGAATTCGTCTTCCGCCAAGAGCTCTCTGATGGTGGCCAGTGCCTGGCTCCTCTGGACGGTGCCACCGATCCTGATCCTGGAGAAGAGATCCTTGAGGTAGAACGCCTTCTCACCTACGCTGGCCTCGGCGCTGGGCCTGACGGCGACAATGGCCTTGGACGGCGAGGGCACCCCGGACGAAGCCATCTCCTTGAGCTGCTTCATGTGTGCATCAAGCTTGCAGCTCAGGTTGTCCAGGTCGCTCCTCAGGCGAAGCCTCCCACCCTTGTATGACCCGTCGCTGCACTGAGAAGCAACGACCTGGATGCACTTCACGGTTGCTGAAGCCAGCCGCAGAAGCTCAGCCAGCACAGGATGCTCCTCGTCGTCATCGTTGCCGTCGCCATCGCCGCCGACGCCGCTGCACAGCGAATTCAGGCTGCAGCAGAGCTGATGGAGCTTGTCCTTGATGGACTGCCACTTGGCTGGGAACTGTGAGACACAGCAGGCCAGTGAAGAGGACGCCATGGACATGAGGAGCTCCAGTGACTCACCATTGCTGACTCCTGGTGCTTCTTCAGCTTCTCCCATCTCTGCACTCTGTGGAGGTCACCACAAGAACACTGTCTAACTATGTAGTAGCATTCATCTTGGGATTGGGGGCTTGAGATGCTATGTATGGTATGGTATGTATGGTGGTGCAGGGAGCTTGGACAAATGTTAGTTTTGTACTGGCATCTACTGGTAGCCAGTGCACGCCACTATGGGGGCAGATGGGTAGGCTGGTTGGTAGTGCCGGCACCAATCTCTGATCTGTCTAGTTACCCCTGCCAATCTGCCGTGCTGCCTGGCTCCTGTTGGTTTCTTCCATTGGAATCTTGCTACTCTCTCTGTCAATCTGTGTAGATTGTTCTCTCTGTCATGCTCCCATCTCACTGTAACTTTGTACTTAGGCCCTGTTTGTTTCTCTTATAATTCGTCTTTTTCAGCTTGTTTTTCCAGCCGAAATAGTGTTTTTCTCTCACAACAAATCAGTCGGAACAATGTTTCGACTTGTTTTTTCAGCGAAGCGAACGGAGCCTTAGTAGTCATCAGGAGCTAAAAGAATAGTTCACTTGGCCAGTGTTAATGAATTATTAGCATACAGTATACTCTAGCTGCAATGAGAGCAATGGGATGGAATTGGATGGAATGATGGCTTGCATCAGTGGGGTGTTTTAGTGAGTCTGCAGAAACAACCTGTTCGTTGGTTGGTTTCTGGGCTGATAAGCCCGACTGGTACTGATTTGTTGTGAAAGAAAAATATTGTACCATAACTGATAAGCCTCGACTAAAACCAACGAGTAAACAGGCTGAAAGGATGCTGAATACCCTTTATTTCATCGCCTCCTTGGGGATATAATGGAGTCATGAGCTACAGTTGAGTTGGTGATTACGCACTGCTCTGCTCATCATGTATTATGAGGCCAGCATCGAGTACCTTTCCGGGAGTAAAATAACGGCAAAATGGCTTTACTTTACGCTTCTCTTTCTGTTGGTACCCATTGGCAGGGCAGGCAGCTGTGTGATTCACTTCTCTTTCTGTTGGTACCCATTGGCAGGGCAGGCAGCTGTGTCCCGGTGATTCATGCAAGATGTGTTGTTGGTCACCCAACCTGCTCCGTAGCAGCGTATGACACTTGAAGGTAGAGTCACAGTACAGCGACAGCTTCAAACACTGTTCTCGTAATGAGCTCATCTAACGCCCCCCCCCCAAAAAAAAGAATGCACAAATGCCGTCAGCGGCAAACAACAACATTACAACATAAACTTACTTTTCAGCATGGCTTTTCAACGAAGCGAACAGGGCAGTTTGGCATTAGTTGCATATAGTTAGTCATTCAGGGGCAAATATAAAATTGTTCCCAGTTCCAAATTACAATATGTCATTAAAAATGTATCTTTATTTAGCATGTTCTTATTGGCCTATGGTCTGGGCCAGGAGATGCGGCGAAACAAAGGCACTGCTGGGTCTAGCTAGGGTAATTAGTTGGCAAGTGCGTGCAAATCTAGTAAGGTACACTAAGGACTCTTGGGCTTTAAGCTTGGAGATGACTTGAGAGATTTCTTTTGTGCAAAAAGGATCAAACATCAAAGGATGAGCACTACCTGTTCTTGCTTTCAATGATTTTCCCCCCACCGGCCAGTCCAGTGATGGATGAACAGGCAGGGGACATGCATTGATTTGGACGGTGTAAATGCACGTTTGTACCATAACTCTGTCATGAAAGGCATACTACCTACAGAAGACAGCGTGAGTGGAGCACTTACCAAGATGCCAAAACTACATCACAGGATGAACTGATGAGGTGTCGTTCCATGGATGATGGATCTCATCTGCAAACTGCAAATGCCTCTTGTATCTTCTGCCCCAGCGACGTACGGTACGGTACTTACCGTGGCACTCACCGGATTTTACCTTCAAGTAACATGTACAATGTGCTTTTTGTACGGTATTCACCGGATTGAGTGAAAAAGCACTCGTGTCATGTTGCTATGGGAAAACTCAAATAAATAACTCTTTCTGCGAGACCCAGTTCACACACACTCACATACACGAGCGCACACTCATCCTTATAAACGCACATAGCACACCCTACCCTTATAAGCACCTCTGAAGAACTGAGTTGGACCGGCAAATCTCGAAATTAACGAAGTCACCACAGACGCCTCGCTGTCGATGGGCACATCGCCTACCACTGCGGTGCCTGTATAGCAGAAAATATAAGCAAGAAATTCCAGCAGTTCTATATAAGCAAGTAGTTCCAGCAGTTCTATATAAGCAAGTAATTCCAGGAGACTACCTAACAAAGAAAGAAAGAAAGAAAAACAACAACCAAAACTCTATGACTGATCAGCAACAACACAACCGTGTACAATATGGTATCAACACCGCTAGCTGCCACAATAGAACTCCCCACTGCGACCATAGGCCACTAAAACCATGATGCATGCTCGCACTTCAAACCTTATGTATTGTGGTTGTTGAATACCTCAGCCATAACTTAGCATCATCAGAAAATGAAAGAGATTCAGATCACACCACTATGCAGGATCCATTGCCATAGTGTCGTTGCAGCTCTACAAACTACCGACCGATAAAAGAATTCCACTAGATCTAGACTTCTTCAAGGCTACTTTGTAGTCACCGCCAAGAAAACAATAGGGCTACTTTGTAGTCGTCGCTAAGAAAAACCAATGCGGGGTGTCTGGCCACATCCGTCTTTGGACTCCACACCGCACTCTTGCCGCCCTAGGAGAAACCACAACACTATCTACTCTCACAAATCTGTTAGTTGTATCGCCCCATAAGAAAAGGTGTGCAGTGTGTGCCACCTTGGAACAAACACCACTTGAATTCTTGCTTCAAATAGTAGCATGATAAGGATATCATGAATCTTAATGGTAATTTGATTTTTTTTTTCTTTTTAGTTTTTTAAAAGGTCTAGTAGCCTAATGAACTATCTGCAAAATTTCATAGTCGAATATACCAAATACATCTTGTCACGATCACTCAGAAACTATACCGCTCTCGGTCAGAGCATGTTTGTTTCAACTTTTTGTTGGCTTCTACTTGCCAAAGCTGAAACAAACAACCTAGCTGTTGAGTTGGTTTTGAAAAGCTAGAAAGATAACTTATGAGGAAATAAACTAAAAGTTGAAATGCATGTTTTGAGGTGCTTTTCTAGCTTATGGTGTGTTGAGAAGCAAAAAAAATTATTAAAAAACCAATAACAAAAAACCAACGACAAGAAGCCAAAAGCTAGCAAGTCACCTACAAGCTAGAAAGTCACCCAAAACCAACAAACAGATCCTGACTATCCGAGTGGTAAACGAAGGTACCAGAGGGAGAAGAACGTGTCCTGCTTTACATGCTCTGCAAGCTGCTCTTGTTCCAGTGAATCCAGAGCAGATTATTATCACAACAGGTAATAAACTAACGGTCGAACAGGGGGAGCGTATAGCCGTATCCATACAGCACGTGATTGAGAAGAGGCCAGCTGCGGCAGAAGGGGTCGGCGTGAGCAGCAAAATGGACCACTCGGCATTCCATTGGCCGGGAGGACCAATCCATGCGTAGACACTAGCAAAATGGACCACTTGCTTGTTCGGCTGGTATTAAAATCGGTTGATAAGCTGACTGAAACTGATTTATTATGAGAGAAAAACACTGTAGATTCTAGCTGATAAACCGGCCGATAAGTTCAAGCGAACAGGCCTAGGCGTACTACATCCCGTGGCCACCCTTGAGGCAGACATGCCGTTATTGCTGTCAGTAATCAGTATCATCACTGTTGTTACAAGCAGTGAAAACCTGAACAACACTTGAGACCTCATCTGGTTGGTCTGGGGATGATCGGTCAGATTGGTGGGTTCATACTTCATACCCTAGTCCAAAAGATGAGACCTGCAGCAGCAATTCACTTCATAACAACGAACTTTGCACGGCATGTGTGCAAACAATGGCTCGCGACAATTTCACGTGAAGTGGTTCGATTCTCGCGGCAAGAATCTGATACCATGTTCCAACGGGGCTACAGTGAAAGCTAAAAAGGGGGCCTCTTTCTTCCAAAGCTGCTTCACATGTTGAGAGCCTTCCATCCGTCCATCCATCTGTAGCAGAATCAAGGAAAAGGAACACCGTGCCATTAGACACAGACGAAAGAACAGCAGTTTCCTTGGCAGGACCTGGCGCGGGGAGGGAAACAGCTTTGCTTGCTCAAGCTCCAGCAGCAAATCGATTATTCTTCAGATGAAATCCCTGTGCAGAAGAAGGATGACGATGCATCTGGTTCGGTGGCGCGCGCGCTAAATTCGGCTTGAATCCCTCCCAAATATGAACCGGCGAGTCCAGTCGGAAACCACCAGTACCCTCGTGCGCCAGCTCACTTGCTTGCTGGATACATGGGAAGAGAACAATGATAGCGAGTTAGGACAGTCATGAGTTGCCACAAAAAACGACTTGTAAGGACAGAGGCTTGATTATTCATGATGAAAAAGGATAAGGCGGTGGCTGAAGTAGAGAGAATAGCAACATGCAAACACAATGAGGGGCCGTGCTTTTTCCGGTCAGATGGATTGTAGATGATGAGAGCGCACTCGAGAGTTTCTACCTGGCATACACAGAGTACCACAGCCACTGAGTGCTGTGGCCCATGGAGACCCAGTCGCCCGGGAGCTCTGCAGCAGCTTGTTCTCCACCCAGGGGTGCGAATTGCCCAAAATGCTTGTAGCTTGAAAGCAACGGCATCAAGAGATGAGTAGGCATACAATGCAGAAATAAGTTGAAGAGCTAACAGTATCAGTATAAGCTTTACATGTCGACATCTATTTTTGAAAATTATATTTGAAGAGCTTAAAGGCTTTGTTGTTGTTGTATATTTGGTTAGCGACGATTTTCACTGGATAAAAACAAGTTCTGAACTGACCATATTTCATATTAAAAGTTGATCTGTGTTGACTGAATATGAACTATTAGTCTCTATGCCATTATTAAGCTTGTCAGAACTCAGAAATAATGCCTTTCAGGCCTGACATAGCACGCAACTATGCAGTTATGACTTTGGAGTGTGAACAGAGCTAAATACCGAAATGGGCGGAAAAAAGTGACGGCCAGATCCCCTGTCATCATAAAGGGCCTTCTGGTTCCTCTTTGCATTCTTCCATTTTGTTGAAACTTTCAGCGAGATACTGCCCTTGTTGTGCAGCGACCTAACAGTCAGGAAACTGGTTATTCACAAATCATAGCATTGTCTGTGCTATACTGCTATATATACCATTAACAGACAACTTGCATATCACCATTGAGCAAACCTGAGCTGTTGCTGGAGCATTTTCACTTGGGAATCAACATGGCTCAGAGCTTGTTTGAACTCCTCTATATCAACCACCATAGACTCCTTGTGAGAATCACCTATTAAGCCTTTTATTAAATCCGCAATATCAAGCATGTGCATACTTTTCATATAGAGCTCTACTTGCGGATATCTTATATATATATCTTCTAATACATCATTGATCTCTTTCAGTGTTAAAGTGCCAGAATTGTCCTTGTCTGCCATCTTAAATACCATTGAAATATCATCCTGAAATAGTGTAGAAACAGATAAGTCAGAGGATTTGCTGTTGAAAAATACATGTGAGCTACAGAATGGTAGAATTCATACATATGAAGTTATCCAGCAATAAACCTACTGATGTGCACATTCAAAATTGACAGAATATAAGTATAAGCTAGTGCAGTGATGTAAATGACATGACTGTTGACCTTTACAAGCAGTCAAGTTGGAAGCAAGAACAGTAGGCTTTATCTGTAAATATAAGGATTAAAGGCTCTACACATACCATTATTTTTCTTTGACTAACTGTAGCACAGTCACCAATTGCATAGACACCTTCACACTCGCGAACTCTTAACCACTCATTAGTTGCCAAGGCACGCCGATTAGTCTGTTCAAGGAGAGAATATTTTGATATATTAACAAAACATTGGAGTTGTACTATTGCTGAGTAAGTCATAAATGGGTTAACTGGTAATGAGAGATTCAACAACCTGCCCAATTTGTTGCATGAAGTCCATGATGACAGGACGAGTACCAATGCCAGCAGACCAAACAGCCATTCCATAAGGCACTGATACCTCCTTGCCAGCTGATTTGCTCTTCATTGTAATCAAATCATCAGACACCTTTATCACTCTGAAGCCCGTGCACACTTCGATGCCATTCCTCTGGAACTTTTGTTCAGCAAATGCAGCTATTTTTTTATCAAACCTATATAACAGAAAATAGACATTCATATCATGGTAAACGTTACAATCTGCTGAGGTTACATCAAGAATAGATTCTGAACACAGCTACAGTGTTCATGTTTTCATCCAATTTGAAATGCTTTCCCATGTAAAAAAGGAAAAAAAAACAACCATCTGCAACTGTAATACAGATACACTAAGCTAACCTGGAGGTTCTCTTATCCAAAGTACACAGGACTATTACAGCAACATGAAAGATAAAGATGGCTATTACTGCAACAAGACTATCTATGAAGTCCATAGAACCTTACATATTCAATATATGCTCTCCCGATTGAATAATTGTTATCTTCACAAAGTCTTGAATGGCAGGGTATAGTTTCACCAAATCTTCGACAAGAAAATCATGCATCTCTGCTGCAAATTCAACTCCAGTAGGTCCACCACCAATAACTACAAAATGTAGAATTTTCCTTTTCTCCTCATCGCTAATATTTGGAAGTGATGCTTTTTCGGAAACAATCTATCACACACCTCCGTATCTTCTGAGCATCCTCTACTTCCTGACTTTCAGGATGTGAAGCCATATCATGATAGAGGAAGACAGAAAATATTACATGATAGATGATGCAGTTAGTAGCTTCATGAATGTAAATCTTCAAAGAATGACCATAAGGATACTAAAGATTTATACTGCATTAAGGGCAAAATCACACAACAGGGTCATTCAGAGAATGTAATGACATTGAGCAGGTGCTCCATGGGAATGTTAACGTGTGAAAAAGAAAACCTAGGTCACGTATGCTTAACATAAGTAGCTACAAGCTATATATGTGTTCCAAATGGGTGTGCACTACATCATGCCAGATGGTTCAGTGTAAACTGACATTTGACTCTCTTTCATGATTACAATTTGACAGGTTCTTTCATGCAATGAAATCTATGTGTCAATGTAAGATTTTATCGTTGCAGTTACATTGTTTTGTTAGTCATAAAAGTGTCGTTTCACACAGCATTAGACAATTAGATCAAAATCAAAAGCGTCTTCATGATGTTATAAAAGATCAAGCAGAATAACTACAGCTTATAATTGATATATGGATCATAACAGAATATGTAGGGAATTTTACCTTCAAAAGGCAGCAGTGCTCCAGCACTCCAGGAGTGTTAAATGTACTTACAGTAGCTCCAAGAGCAACAACTAAGTAATCATAATCCAACACAAAATCACCGTTCCCATCAAGATTAGTTCCAACAGAAGAACGGCAATGTACAGTTTTTTATTTAAGTCAATCTTGAAACACTCTGCTTCACAAAATGTGACATCCTTGCTTTTCTCTGAAAAGAAAGACAAGAACAAGAAAAAAGCGGTCAGTATGTCACTCAACTAACACAGAAAGTGAATGAACGCTAGACATCCAAGGTATCAATGTAAGCACTCCGAGTAAACAAGAAATGAATCTTTTGGCATTTTGATGTCAATGCTATGCCACTTTGACAACTAAATTTTATCATCAGTCGTCACATATTAGGGATAGCTGAACAAGTCCAAAGAGCAACATTGTTGTGATTTATGAAATAATTTCATGTCTACGCATATCACTTCTATATATCCAAACTACAAAGGTACACATTACAAAACTATATCTATGATCTGATTATGCTGACTGCATGCGCTCTAAGGCCCCACTTGTTTTCAACGTTGAGAGTATCACAGATCAACAGTTAACCAACACACGGCAAGACCCAAGACCCAAGAGATACTGAGTAAGGAGGGCCGTACCCCCAAAGGGTTCATTCGTAGTAGGAGAATAGACAAACACCACACCCAATTACTTTCAGAACACAATAGCACAAAATCAATTGGCAAAGAAGTACCTTCTCAAGGATCCTCCGTATCGGCTCGACAATGCTGCGTGCTTCGACAGTGCCACATGTGACACTCGGAAGCAGAGGCGTGAATGCGAAGTAGTTCCGGGGCGAGATGACCTTCACTTCATACCGGGAGCAGTCGAGGTTCTTGAGGAATGACGTCCCAGCCCAGCCAGTCCCAAGAACCAGCACCTTCTTCTTGGGAGCATCCTGAGATGGCTCCGGAGCACTCTCCGCAGCGGAATCCGCGTACGCCACAAGGCCTCCGCCACTGCAAAGCGGCAACCAATCTTTTAGCTTGCAAATGCAGCCCCAAATAGGCCACTCAGAGTAGTCGAAGTGAAATCTTGGGAGCAACCCGAAGGTATGGATTAAAATAAAGGGGGCCTTTTCCCTTCCAAAAGTGCAGTAGACGGACCAAGAACATGATCCCAGGGCCATCACAGTTGACTACGACTGTCGAACAGGAAAGCAACTCAAAGGGACGGGGAAAAACAAATGGGTCATAAACAGACAAAGGAACAGTAAATCACGCGACGAAACCCAAAAAAAAAGGTGCAAAATCGGGCGGATTTCTGGTGGAAAGCGACGGAGGAAGCACAAGCACCCACACCTGGCCGCTGCGAACAGAAGTGCTGCGGTGGAGACGCCGGGGCGCGCGATCCCGTCCAGCAGTCGAGCACCGGCTCGGGAGGTGAAGGAGAACCCCATCCTTTGCTCGCCTCAGACCTCACTGAGTTCTGACTTCTGAAGTGAAGAACCCCAATCGCGAACGATGAACGAAGAACGATCCGCTGAGACCGGAGGCCAGCCTATACCTGCTCGACTGAGTCCTAGTAGCCCCCTTGGTCGCTGCTCATTGGATAGCCGCTGCGGATGTGTCGCAGCAGCAGGGACCGCAGCTCCCCTCTGACCTGACCTGTCCCAAGCACGAGTAAAATAAAAAGAAAATTGCGCCCAAATTTGAGGTGATGCAGGAATAAAAAGTTTCCAGATCTCATCCACGTCCCAAGACTTTGCAGCCGCGTTAAGATCTGACACGTGTCACACCATCGCCGATTATATACCGGCTGATCCGCATCAATTCCCCGTCACCCTCTGATGAGTCATCGCCGTTCCTGCATTTCTTTACACAATGACCTGATGACCAGAGCAGTAATAAGTGGCTAAATAATTAACTTGACTTGACCAGCATGGCCTAGCGCTTCTTTTTTCCTTTTCTTTCTTTTTCTTTCTTTTCGTGGTTAGAAACATGCCATATGCTTCAGTCAGGGGGCTTCAGCCTCCCTGCCCCCACGCTGCTTTTTCCTGGCTTCCTGCCGTCCTGCGTGAGTAGGGGTGCATGAGTAATAAGGCCGCGTTTAGATGCCAAATTTTTTTGGCTTTGGTACTGTAGCCCGTTTGTTTGTATTTGACAATTAGTGTCTAATTATGGACTAATTAGGTTCGAAAGTTTCGTCTCGCGATTTCTCACCTAACTATACAATTAGTTTTTTTTTCCATCTATATTTAGTACTCCATACATGTGCTGCAAGATTCGATGTGATAAATACTGCATAAAATTTTTTGGAATCTAAACAGACCCTAAACTGCTTCAGCTAACTCCTGCTGCACGAGCAAAGCATTGCTGGAACTTTAAAGGCCTGCACAGTCGGCATCTCACATTCAGATTCAGGAATGATCAAATAGTTTACAGTATAATCTACTTCCTCCGTCTCAAAAAAAAAATACAATTATGAAACACTATTATATTTTAGTATATCAAATTTGACTAATTATAGATAAAAAGTATAAATATTTGTAATATTAAATAAATATTATTATATTAATTATGAAATATATTTTTATAATAAATTAATTTAGAGTCAAAGTAAATACTATTTATTAGAAACTTGGTCCAACGTGAAACACTTTAGCTCATACCGTAGTTATGTCCTACACAGTAATAATCTATGTAGAGATGGACCAATATGGGCAACTGCAGGTGCAGAGCTTAGAGCCAAACAAGCAGATACGGAGAAAACAATCTTGTGTTTATATTTTGCCTATTCGTTTATTGGTTTTAGATAGGGTTTATCAGCTATGATATAATATTTTTTTCTCACAACAAACTAGCACCAATCGGGTTTATCAGTCTATAAACCAACCAAACAAATAAATGATTAACGATAATGCTCCACCGCGCGACGTCACATCACAGGTGCCTCCATCTGGGCGCTCCTAGTTTTAGGTCTCAGAGATCATCCCACATCCCCGCTCCTCTCGTCATGATATACACAATTTATAAAAAAGGCGATATTTTTCCCATTCACATATGCCGCATCTCGCGGTGTTTCCCACCCCGGCACCATGGTCACCTTGGCTCCTGCTCCTGCTTCACCGTGTTGCCCCGCTGCTCCTGCTCCTGTTCCGCATGCCCACCCCGCCGCTTCTTGACGCTTCTCCTCACTCTGTTCACAAGGCTTTCATGCTCTGCTCTTCTCCTTTGCCAGCTTGCTTCGACGATGCTGATGCAAGCGCCACCAGCGCAAGGAGAAGCGTCGGCCCTAGGGATACGATGCATGTTGCAAGTGTACAATTCAAATGTTTTAGAAGTTTATATATGTTGCAAGTGTTTCATACGGATGTTGCATAAGTAGATCAAGATGTTACATATGTTGCAATGGTTGTACATGTATATTGCAAGTGTCTATCCCTAGTGTTTCATCTATTTTTTAGATGTATGTTGCAAGTATGTTTATCTAGATGTTACATACATTGCATAATATGTTGCAAGTGTTTTATCTGGATGTTACATATGTTTGCAATAGCTTTTCAAGTGGTGTTTTGCAAGTATTTCAGACGCATGTTTTAAATGTTTCATTTATCTTCTTTTTGTATGTTGCAAGTGTTGTATCTGGATGTTTTAAAAGTAGATCGGCATGTTGCAATGGTGTTTCAAGTGTATGTCCTAAATGTTTTATCTGTTTAGACGTATGTTGCAAATGTTTTATCTTGATGTTGCAAAAGTAGATCTGGTGTTGAGCATGTTTGTCGGGTATCAGTATTAGGGATACTCGAAGAAGGGATCTGAGGACCGCGGACGACGACTCAAGGACATATTTCAGTCTCGACCGACCCCAAGGGTGCGGTCTCCGTCTTGCCCGACCCTAAGGGCACGGGCCCCGTGTCGCCCGACCCCAGGGGCGCAGGCTCCATCTCACCCGACCCCTTGGGTGCGGGCCCCGCGTCACCCGGCCCCAAGGGTGCGGGAGCCGTCTCGCCCGACCCCTTAGGCACGGGCCTCGCGTCGCCCGACCCTAAGGGTGCGGGAGCCGTCTCGCCCGACCCTGAGGGGACGGGCTTCGTCTCGCCCGATCCCTAGGGCACGGGCTCCGTCTCGTCCGACGAGGGCCCACACCGTCTCCAGCCACTACGGGTCAGAAGGTACGACCCCAGGGTCAAACTTCTGACACTAGGCAGGAAGCAGGCATGTCTCGACGTGACCCATGGCCACGCCAGGCCATGCCCGGGGGTTCACATCGCCAACAGTGATGGGTGCGTGGTCACTGTGTTGCCTACTCCCCATACGATCGCTGACCGGCACGTCGGTTCGTCGCGTCATCCGCCGGGACAGGATGGGACACCACGACCAGCTGATGACGCCGGGGCATGGCACCAGTGGTGAACAGGAGCCTGGCATGAAGCCATCCCCGTCACCATGTACAACGTCGGCGGGACCCACATAAAGGAGAAGAAGGACCCGGTGGCCCTGGAGGCCTTCTTCTCCCTGGCTTTTCTCCTTTCTCTCTGTAACTGGCGCCTTCCCCTTCACCTATAAAAAGGGAAGTAGGACGCCCCACGAGAGGGGGACACAAATAAACACACAGCTAAATGAGCTCAGCAAGACTCGACTCCATTCGACCTATTAACCAGAGACTTAGGACATTCTCCCTCTCTGCCCGCTTATAAAGCCTACTACAAACTAGTGTCGATGACACGGTAGCAAAGACACTGCTTGATGTAGGGACATTCCGTCCAACCAATTATAAATCCTTGTGTCCTTCGAGCACAAAATCCGTGCCGACGCATACGATACAAAATTACTAGCGAGTTGTTCAAACACCGATAGTTGGCGTGCTGTAGGGGCTTTTTTGCGCGTCTCAACGTCCACATCGGCCTCGGATAGCTAGTCACGGCATTAGTCATTCCCCGGCGCACGCGCGCTTCGGGAACCTGGACTTCATCGTCACGATGGAGGGAGAGTTGGCGCAGGCTCCCACCGCTGTCCAGCCTCTCCACTCCGCCGGCCTTGATGCGATCGTCGAGGCACTTGAGGAGCTACAGCTGCACGCACCGGAGGCCCGTGCACCCGGGAGCGGCCAGCTTATCGGCTTCGATTACGGAGGTTAGAATGCCAGCTCGACGTCTTCCTGCGCTGCCTCACCTTCTCGTTCGCCAATGTCATGGCGCAGCTTGCCGAGGGGGAACCGCTCTCCCCGGAATACCTCATCCGGAGCGCCTCAACAGCGTTCCCATTCGGTCTCCGCAATGCTGCGAGGACCGTTGGCCACCTTATGGCGCAGCGCACGCCCCCATCCCCTACAAATGATGAGTTCATGGGGATGACCGAATACATCGCGGAATCTTTCCATGACCTTCTTGCAGGAGATTCAGAGTCACCCTCCAACTTTGACTCCAACAAGGGGAGCCATCACCCCTCGCGAGAATGTTTTATGGCAGCTACCCCCAAGGGACGTGTCGAAAGCGTCCACGAGGGAGGGGCTACCCCAACAAATGACCTTGACGACAAGGTCGAGGAGATGTAAGGCCCACCTCGCTCTGTGAGTGGAGCGGTGAGGGTGCGGCGTAGGGAACTCGAGGATGCACGACTTTAGCTAGAGCAAGAGCACGCGGAGCTCGAGCAAGAGATCGAGCACCGCGGAGACGGTGGGCGTGCGCGCGCCATGGCCTGCGACATGAACCGGAGGATCCTCGAAGACGATGGAGCCCTCCCACACTTTGCCCAGACAAGCCAGAACATCGTTGCCATGGCGGCCTTGCTCCGAGGGCTTTCGAAGCCCACGACACCCGAGGATCGTCGGGCCCATCGCGAGATCCACATGCTACTCGAGCGCGCGGTAGTGCAGCAGGCAGAGAGCTCGCGGTCTCGGCGACATGAGCTTGACACTAGTCAGCATGCACCCTCGAGACGACATGTCAGGGACGTGTCTGTCCACCAAGCGCCACACATTGGGGGGGACACGCCGCGGCACCTGTGCATGAGTGTCTCGGCCTCCATCGTGACGCACGTAACACCCTGGATGCCCGTAGGCATGGACGAAGCGGCGAGAGAGAGGAAGTCGACCGTGGCTACCACCCTCGTCGCGGCAGACGCTACGACAGTGGCGAGGACCGGAGCTCGAGCCTTGACCTACTGGGACCTCAGGCCTTTGGCCAACACATCCTCAATGTTGCCTTCCCACCATGGTACCGACCGCCGACCAACATCTCGAAATACTCCGAGGAAACAAACCCTGGACTGTGGCTCGAGGATTATCGGCTTGCTTGCCAAGCCAGTGGAGCAGATAATGATAGTTTCATTATCCGCAACCTTTCATTGTTCCTGGCCGATTCGGCATGAACATGGTTGAAGCACCTTCCGCCCAACCGGATTCAAAGTTGGGTGGACCTAAAGGAGATTTTCGTGGGAAACTTCCAGGGCACCTACG